GGGTGTAGGCAGGGGCTCCAGGCTGGGGGGGGTGGGGCTGAGGGATTCGGAATGTGGGAGGGGGCTGCGGGTTGAGGCAGGGGGTTGGAGTGCAGGAGCGGGTGAGGGCTATGGGGTGGGGCTGGGGATGAGGGTTTCAGGGTGTGGGAGGGGCCTCTGGGCTTGGGCAGAGGGTTGCGGGGGTGAGCCCAGGGATGAGGGGTTCAGGGCTGGGGCAGAGGGTTGAGGTGCAGGGGGGTTGAGGGTTCTGCCTGGGGGTGCAGTCTCACCGTTAAAGTCCTGTCGGCAGTGCTGCAGATCTAAGGCAGGCTACCTACCTGCCCTGGCACCACGCTTTGCCCTGGAAGAGGCCAGCAGGTTCGGCTCCTAGATGGGGGGGGCAGGAGGCTCCGTGTGCTGCTCTCGCCTGCAGGCACTCCCCCCCTCCCAGCTCCCACTGGCTGTGGAGCCGGTGCTCAGGGCGGGGGCAGCATGTAGAGCCCCGTGGCCCCCCGCCTAGGAGCCGGACCTGCTGGCCACTTCCAGGACACAGCACAGTGCCAGGGCAGGTAGGGAGCCTGCCTTAGACCTGCAGTGCTGCTGACCGGACTTTTAACGGCCCGGTCGGCGGTGCTGACTGGAGTCGCCAGGGTCCCTTTTCGACTGGGTGTTCCGGTGGAAAACCGGACACCTGGCAACCCTAGCCCAGATCCCAAAGGCATCATCCACAGTGGCCTCATGACAGTGTGACTACCACATCTTAGGATTTGTCCGCACAGGCTAGTGCACAGTAGGGAGGCCACTAGTCCAGGATTAAACTGGATGGCCCGGTACTTGGACAAAACTGGACATGGTTTTGTCCCGTATCAGATGGCTCTGCCCCAGCCCGCTCTTAAAAATGGCACCTCTGGAATGCAGGGTGACCTTGCATGCACCGTGTGTGCAAAGTCACACTGGTGGGGGTGAGGCGGCCCATTCTGAAAGATGGTGCCCCCTCCGCATGTGGCATGACCTCGCACCCATCACCATGCCAGTGAGGGCAGAGTTAACACCGGCGGGGGTGGGGTCAGGGTCACACCATTCCCAGAAGTACCGGAATGTCCGGTGTTGAGGGAAGGTGGAGCGGACATCTTATGCACCAATATAATAAGGGACTTGATCTTCCTTGGCTTGAAACCAGAGTAAGACGCACCAGTGCAGCATGTGGACATGAGGCATTTCATTGGGGGAGGGATAGCTCAGTGGTTTGAGCATTGGCCTGCTAAACCCAGGGTTGTGAGCTCAATCCTTGAGGGGGCCTCTTGGGGATCTGGGGCAAAATCAGTACTTGGTCCTGCTAGTGAAGGCAGGGGGCTGGACTCGATGACCTTTCAGGGTCCCTTCCAGTTCTAGGAGATGGGATATCTCCATTAATTTCTTTCTATTTCTATAGGACTGGAAGGGACCTTGAGAGGTCATCTAGTCCAGTCCCCTGCACTCAAGGCACAGCTAAGGATTAGCTAGACCATCCCTGACAGGTGTTTGTCCAACCTGCTCTTAAAAACCTCCGATGAATGCAGGGGGCATCTCTGTGTTGTGTTCATACAGCACCTAGCGGAGTGGGGCCATGTCCAAGACTGGCGCTCAAGGATGCTATCATCATCAACAGGAATCAATCAGTAAAGCTCACCTGGTGTAAAACTTCCCAGTGTAGACAAAACCGCAAGGCAACACAGCTCCAGACCTTCCCCCCTTAGTCTTTGCAAGAAGCTGTGAAGTGCTAATGAGTCCTTTTCAGGCACTCACAGCAGCACACAGCCTGCAGGCTCCCTCCTGGTAACACTGCAGGTTGGCAGCTCTACTGCTTTTGTCTCTGAAAATGACCATGACCTAGAGTGCTGTGAAAACACCCCTCACCTCCAGTCACTGCAGCAGATCAAAGTCTGAATCCTTCTGAATCCTTCTTTCCCCCCTCCCTCAGTTACACCACAGAGTTTGTGGATTTGGGAAATGTCTCAGCTCTACGAACGTTCCGTGTCCTCCGCGCACTGAAAACAATCACCGTGATTCCAGGTAGGTCAAGGAGCATTTGCCTTCCAAACCATCTCCGTTCCTTTTCACAGTTTAAGCTTTAACTTGAAAAACCAGCCGGCTTTCAGATCTTTGCCCTGGACCTTGGATTGTCCCATGCATCAGTGCAAAGTGAGTGTGGAACACTCCTGTTCTTGTGTGACAGTGTTTTATACCCACTTTGCACTCGCTGTCACTGGCATAACTGACTATACAGGTTGGAGGATAGTGGAGAAAAGGCCCCTTGCCTATTGAGAGGTGAAGGCATTTTTCTTTGAGTTGGGGGTATTATGGCATTGGTAGTGCTAAAAGCTCCAGCAGCATTGACAGCCCAATTATAAGACCCTGCTTTTGCTTGTGCATAACTTTGCAAAAAAATGGCCTTTTGAGCTGACATTTTCCATGTCCCAAAGTAATTTTTTTGCCTTGGAAAACTTTGAGGAAAATGCATGTAATTGTTTTGCATTATTTTCTGTATTTAAAAACAAGTAATACGTTTCAGACTTTGACTGTCTACACTTGGAGCTCAGCGTGTGTTCCCAGCTCATGTAGACATACTCGCATTCACTCTCATTGGGCTAAAAATAGTAGTGTAGCTGCAGTAGCACAGGCAATGGTGAGCGGTGGCATAGGCTAGCTGCCCAGTGCACAAACCTGTCTGGACCCCGGAGGCGCGTATTGGCGGTGGCTAAGCTAGGCCACCACTTGCCGTTGACTGTGCTAGTGCGGCTACACTACTATTTTTGGCATACTAGCTTGAAAAGAGCTAGCACAAGAGTGTCTGCATGAGCTATGAATCACAGCCCTAGCTCCAAGCGTAGATGTAGCCTTTAGGGTCAAATCCTGCTGCTTTTTACACATGAGTGAGTCCCATTCATTCAATGGGGCTATTCATGAGGAGAGATTAATAAGACTGGGACTGTTCCGCTTGGAAAAGAGCCGACTAAGGGGGTATATGATAGAGGTCTATAAAATCATGACTGGTGTGGGGAAAGTGAATAGGGAAGTGTTATTTATCTTCTCACATAGCACAAGGACCAAGGGTCACCCAATGAAATTAACAGGCGGTGTAGACATTCGGGCTCAGGCTGCAGCCCAAGCTCTGGGACCCTCCTATCTCGTAGTGTCTTAGAGCCCAGGCTCCAGCCTGAGCCCGAACATCAACATCACAATTAAACAGCCCCCTAGCCTGAGCCCCGCGAGCCCAAGTCAGCTGGCACGGGCCAGCTGTGGGCATCTAATTGCAGTGTAGACATACCCTTAGAGGCCACTTTTGCAAATATATGCGGTCTGGGACTCCTGATGGTCACCTTATCCCAGCCTCTAGATGGTGCCAGGTTATATGTAAATTCAAACTACCAGGCTATGTGCCCAAATATGAGCCAGATGTTGGGCCCTCACCCTGAGCACACATAGCTCTATGTTTTGATAAGGTAGAAGCACACCAAGAGCTCAGGTTCAATGGGGGAGGCTGCCTCGCTGGCACAGTGCAGAACCCTTTGGGCAAGCAGGGTGTCTGGCAAGGGTGGCTGCCAACCTTGTCCAATGGATCCTAACATTCCTCGGGCAAAGACCCAGGAGAGTGTCCTGGCATCACAGGAGTGGCCAAGTCAAAGACGCTCTGGGGATATTTCGTCAGGACAAGAACGCTTGTGCCCTGGCTTCTTTCACCGCCTGCTAAGGCAGAAGGGACCTAACGCCAGCTATAGCCTGCTTGTTTTACTCACATGATTAGTCCTTCCTCAGCCAAAATACAGTAATGTGGGGGAGCCCCCTATGAACTCCCTACCAGACAAAGGGTTAAAAGCAAAACCAAACAATGACTCCCCTAAGCCCCTGGCACAGGAATAGGATTATTGGGGTTTGCATCTTCCCTCGGTTCCACAATGTGGGAGTCAAATGGGCATGTGCCCACTCCCCCAACGGCTAACAGCTTCAAATGGGTGCCAAGGCCAATGGCAGGGGATCTGCGGAGACAATGAAAGTCACTTTTATTCCAGGATAATCAATGTACTTCCCAAGCGGAGTAATTAATCTGGAATGTGATCTCTTTATCTGGTCTAGAGTCTCCACCACACTGGCAGTTATTCTGGAGTGGTTTATTCTTCTCTTGTTATTCCAGTCAGTTTCTCCATGTAGACGGGTCCTTAGAGAATCGGAGTTTTACCTCAACAGGTGGAAATATTGGCACGGCGACTGGGACAAACATTTGGACATGAAATAGGTCCAAAGAAAATGCCAGATCTGAGCACTCCTGTGCTTGGGGACTGTTTTGGGCTCCAGAGATTAATTCTGAGGCTTGGTCCCATCACTAATTTGGGCGTCACACGAGAGGAATAAATATCTTCACATCCCAAGGGCCTCTCAGGGTCTGTTCAATAGCCTGCTCCCGCTTGGGACAGGAATCTACCATTGTACTTTCAGAGCAAAAGATGAGGTAACCTAGCCCCTAATGCAAACTGTCACTCCATCGCCTGTACTCAGAAGCACAAAGACTTCTCTGGGTCAGAGGGTTTGGAGCAGAGCGGAAGGGCGTGGCAGAGCTCAAAGTTCTCCCGGTGGTTACAGGAAGAGAGACACTCCTTTGGACGCAGCAGAATTCTCTGCCCTGAGATCAGGGTTAGCAAATAATTCATCCCAGGTGCAACAGCACGGAACCTCCTCCTGTTCATTTGAACCTAACTGTGATTTTATTTGGCAAATTTCAAATGAAAGGAAAAACACACAATGAAAGGGAGTTAGAAACCATCAGGGGAAAACAGTAATGGCTTCTGTGATGGAAAGATTTTAGGGCCAGTCTAGGGATGTTTCCATAGTATTCATCTAAATGTGTCGGTGAAACCTGTTCTTTTGTAAGAACAACGAGGAGTTCTGGTGGCATCTTAGAGACTAACATATTTATTAGGGCATAAGCTTTCGTGGGCTAGAACCCACTTCATCAGATGCATGGAGTGGAAAATACAGTAAGAAGATATATATACACAGTACATGAAAAGATGGGAGTTGCCTTACCAAGTGGGGGGTCAGTTCTAATGAGACAATTCAATTAAAGTGGGCTATTATCCACAGGAGGAAAATTACTTTTGTAGTGGTAATCAGGGTGGCCCATATCAAACAGTTGACAAGAAGGTGTAACAGTAGGGGGGAAAGTATCAGGGGGTAGCCGTGTTAGTCTGTATCTACAAAAACAACAAGGAGTCTGGTGGCACCTTAAAGACTAACAGATCTATTTGGGCATAAGCTTTTGTGGGTAAAAACCTCACTTCTTCGGATGCAGAAGTGAGGTTTTTACCCACGAAAGCTTATGCCCAAATAAATCTGTTAGGCTTTAAGGTGCCACCAGACTCCTTGTTGTTTTTGTAGATACAGACTAACACGGCTACCCCCTGATACTTTCCCCCCTCCTGTTTCATCTTCTTATCCACTGTCTGATATGGGGCAC